AACAAATAGATTTACGATTTGTTGTTGTTAGGGAAGTTGGGGAAACCATCAGTCCTTCATGACACGTAAGATAATGTTTTGGCTAGGCACGTAGCTCCATTTTTATTCTTTTAAAACTTCGTTTGAGGTTTATGTTCAGTCGTAAAATGTCACCTACATTGGTTTGAAAATGACAGCTTATTTGTTTTAGTATTTCAGCTCATAGGATTTTAACACAGAGAATGGCAGAAAGCTCTAGACTATGCCTCTGGTGTCCACAGCTACAAGCCCTTTTTGCATGCTCAGCATGACTCCCTAGATACACAACAGAGAGCATATGTAATCGACTTGGAACATTCATATTCCTGAACTCTTTTTTGCACCTACTCGAAGCATCTCGTAGGAGAATAGTAAAAGGATAAGATCAATAATGTTAAGGGGACTTCAGTGAAATAATTAAAGTATTCCAAACTTGATATCAGTATCCACTGAAATGAAAGGAATAGACGATAGTGACTAGTGGTTGGCCACTTGGTTTTAGAATTTCTAACAGCATTCCTTACACCCAACTCTATCCTTGTGAAGGGAATGAAAATATAAACTCAGTCTTGGCAAAGGAAGGTTGAATGCTTGGAGCCAAGAAAGCCTTTCTGATTAGCCACAGCAAAGGTTTACTTGGCTGACTTACTGAAGGAAAACTTCCAGGGGAAGTTTTTGCCTGTGTTAACAAGAAGGGAAAATTATAGACTATGAGGAATACACATAAAATACTTCAGAAAAGTGAATACCCTGAATACGGTTTAGCTAAATTAAAGCTGTTTATTTTCTGAGCCTTTTCATGGAGGTGGAGTGGGATTTGTTAAAATACAGAAAAGCCAGTTTCTTTTGTTAGCAAACTCTGTCTCATGATTATAATTTAATTTTGCAATTATGATCAGAAACCCTGATTTTATAAAGCCAATTTTAGTTTTTATTTACAGTAGACACATTTATTGCATAGAGTTCTAAACTTATCGAAAGCATTAATGTTTCACTTTACACAGCATTAACCAAAACCCACCCCAAACTCATTGCTGTCAAGTTGATTCTGACTCATAGCAACTCTGTAGGACAGAGTAGAACTGCCCCATATAGGATTTCCAGGGAGTGGTTGGTGGATTCACTGCTGACCTTTGTTTGGTTAGCAGCCGAGCTCTTAGCCACTGTGCCACTAGGGCTCCTACACAGCATTAGTGCCTAATATCAAGGATGGGTGACTTTGGTAGGTCTTATGATGAGATGGTGCTTTCCTGTCCCTGTTTTCTTCATGCATATAGTTGTTTAGGGTTGAATAGCTGGTGTTCACGGTAGTACGTGCCCTGAGTAGAAATCAAAGATAAAGTTATGATATGAATCTTTATCCTGGCTTTGCTGTTAGCAGAATATGAACTTAAATTTACCAGTTTTAGAAAATTTTTATGTATCTTTACCTTTTCTTCGTCATTAATTTGAAGCGTATCATTCTACTTCTTTCAATGATGTTTATCAGCAGGCGGGTTTTAATTTTTTCTGTTTTTTGCAAAATAGGCATCATCACATATAAACTTAAATTTCCTGATAATGTAACATAAATATGTGACTGTTAAAACTAGTGGTGTTTTCCTTTTAAATAATTTTGCTGACAGTTTAAGGCATGGGATATTTAATGCAGCTAATAAATATAAGCAGGTTACTGTCTGAAAGACTGCAGGTGACTGTCCATTGTAATAGCGTATAAAACATTGAGGGCAGTTGGGATATAAACAATGCTGAGGCATATTCCTGGAAGTCACTGTTCAACTTTGGAAGGGTTAGTAGTGATGCATTAATTGACTTTTTACATGACAGAGTAATAGGATACTTAGATCTAAAAAAATCTCATGACAGAGGTTTGGTAGGCAATGGCTTGTGGTTTATAGAAACAAGATAGGATGAAATTATCTTTTTATTTGAAGATTTAGAAAAAAAGTGGAGATAGGATGAGGTTGCACATTAGAAGTAGCTTGGATTTTTACAAATTGTGGTTATTTATAGTTTAAGTAGAAATATTTTGTTTCTGTTTTTACTAAGAAAGGAACTACTTACCACCCTCCTTCCGTCCACTGCAAATTCCTCCCCCACTCTATGCTAAACTCTAATAAAGTTCTTTAAGAAAGAGGTTTTTTTTTTTGTTTATTTTTTATTTTTAAATCTAAACACAAACAGGTTTTTAATGTGGGGAATCAAAAGTAATCTTTCCAGTTTGTTGAAAAGAAATTTGATAGCTTGTTTTGGTTTTTATTCCTTCTTTGTGTTTTATGTTGTGAGATGCTCTTATTGGGCTTCACTTTGCAGGTGGTCATAGAGTTTGATAGATGAGTCTATTAGCTATACTGAGCTTATGAGTGTTTGGTTCCAGTTTCATTTAGGAGCAATGTTTCTTGGGATTAGTTAGACCGTATTTGATTATATATGTTGGTATTCATTCTATTCTTAGTTGAATGTGGTTTGCTAAGCATTGCAGTTTTCATTAACATTTGTTTAATGGAGGGTGGTTTTTAATTTGGATCACAGCAGTAAAATCTTTTGTCTTAGTTTTCAGAATTTAAATTTGAAGGTAACTTTATTTTGATGTGAAAGTGATTGGATATAGTTTGTAGAAGTGAGAAAAATAAATTTGATATTCATTTTACTCACTCATGGCACAGGCGGGTGGACTTAAGGTTTATTTGCATAAAAGAAGCCATGATTTTATAAATCCCTGAACCTGTTTGTCAGAAACAAATATTTACATTAAATTTCATAATTGACTGGAGTGTAGTTTTTAAATTGTGTTTCACGTTCTCAAACCTTAAGTTAAGAACACACAGAATTTTTAGTATAGTTAAACAGTCTGTTCATGAAGCCTTCTGCTCTGGCCAAAGACCACAAACGAGGTCCTGGTGGTGTGGTTTCCTTCTTGTTTTCCCCTCACTAACAGAGGGTTTCCTATCTTGGCAGCTGTTTCGTACAAGGCAGTCATCAGTGCTTGATTTCTTCCTTCCCTTTCTTCCCACAAACAAGGACTCTTTCAAATAGCAGATGACTGAAGACAGGCTGATCGTGGATTGCTTTAAGAAAGTAGAAACTTGTTCAAGAGTTTTGCATGTGAGCAAACAGCCCATGGCATTAGCTCATTGAAATGAAATTGCCCATTACAACTAAAACTTGGACAGTAAAAGTTCTTTGCTTGAATCAGGAGCAATCCAATGGCTGAGTTACTTTTACTTGTAGTAATAACGTACCTCATCCACACATTGAAATTGTTCTCTTTGCTTCGTCAGATCATCAGACAAGTCTGTAGGATATAAGAAATTATTTATTGATTAGCCTTGAAATGATAGGACTTTTTCTTATGCTTTGTATAGAATAGTCTGCAGTTTTAAGGCAAGTACTCTGCATTGATAGTTCACTGGTAGAATTCTCGCCTTCCATGTGGGAGACCCTCGTATGATTCCCTGCCAGTGTACGTCGTGTACAGCCAGCCACCACCTGTCGGAGGAGGCGTGCATGTTGCTATGATGCTGAACAGGTTTCAGTGACGCTTCTAGACTAAAATGGACTAAGAAGAAAGACTTGGCAATCTCCTTCTGAAAAGCAGCCGTTGAAAACCCTATGGATCACAACAATCTGATCTGTAACTGATTATTAGGATGGCACAGGATTGGCAGCATTTCATTCTGATTTGCATGGAATCGCCATGAGTGGAGGGCCAACTTGATGGCAGCTAACAACAAATCAGCTTTGCCACAGCAGTTGTAAACTGCAGGTTTACTTTTGATTTTGTCTTCTGGAATAGTCTGGGAGTTCTGACTGAAACATGAATAGGGAGAACCAGCCTGTTTTCAGGGATGTGTGCCATGGGCCTCCATCAGATGAATTTTTAAAAAATAATTTATTGTGTTTTCAGTGAAAGTTACACAGCAAATTTCTATACAAATTGTTCGGTGACATTAGTTACATTTTCCGCAGTGTGTCAACATTCTCTTTAATTGTGTTCTGGTTGTTCTGTTTCCAGTGCTCTAGTTTCCCTGCCATCTTATCTTCTCATCTTTGCTTTAGAGTAGTTATTGACTTTTTGATCTCATGTAGATGATTTTTTAATGGAGCACTGTACTCACGGGTAATATCTTTTATTTTGTGTACCAGTCAGTTATTTCACTAAAAGATGCCCTCAAGGGATAGTTTTGGTTCAAGGTTGAAAGACTGTCTCCAGGTGATAGAATCAGGGAGTCCCTCTAGTCTCAACTGGTCCAGTAAGTCTGGACTTCCTAAGAATTTTAGTTCTGTTCTTTGTTTTTCTGCGATTTTATCAGGGTTTCAGATTAATTTTTCATGTACCATTCTCTGGGTATTTTTTTGGATTCAGAAGAAGCTTGCTCTTTCCTTTGTTCTTGCCTTGTTTCTTTGGAGGGGAAGCATCTAAGGTGGTCTCAGAACTGAGTAATACCAAATGTGACACCACCACCCCCATCATGATACCTAAAGGTCTTTGTGGCATTCAGAGATAGGTAAAATATTGGGCTGATATGTGTCATGGAGGAGTATGAAGGGAAGCAGTTTTATCTCTGAAACTATAGGCAGGATAAAATAAACTCTTTATATAGAATTATTTTGTTATATAGAATTATTTTGCTAGTTCCATCTGATTAAAAAAAAATTATTTTTGGTGAAAATATACACATCAAAACATGCACCTATTTAACAATTTTTACACATTTTCATCTGATTTTATGGATCTTTATAACATCAAATTTTTTTTAACGTTCTTTTTGGTACGTTTGTTGGTAAAGCAGGATAGGGACTTTAGAGTGTGATAAATATTTCAAACCATTTAGAATTTCCCTTTCCACTGAAGTTACATATAGTGAACTGAAAATAGAATATAGTGAGCTGATAATAGAGTCACATGATACATGGAATGTGTAATAAATGCATCATAGTTCAGATACTGTGAAATAGATAACTAAGTTATCCAGGAAATTTTTATTTTCTAAATTTTCCTTTATGCTTTAGTGACAACATCTAAATTATTTAAGAGTTCATTTTATTTGAATTAAATAGACAACCTCAGAATGGGGAGGGGTTCACCTCACCACTTTATAAAACTCTTTAGTCGCGTCAGGGTTAAGTGTGGCTTGAGAGAAATTGGTAACACTTAGAAGAAAATAATGGAAAATTAAAGATAGAAACTGTAAGATGTTACTTTAAAAGAAAATGTTTGCAGTCTCTTTACTCTCAGAGGCTAGACTAACAGGCTAGATATTTGGGTACTGACTGCATTTTATGTGTATTATGAGACTGCTTAATACTGCTGTAGAATGGAGTAAAACATTTGGATAGAGCCCAAGAACTGACATGGTCTCATGCAGACCCAGGAACTAAGAAATGCTTTGATTAAGTCAGGTGCCTGAAGTTTTTGTACCCTTTCCAGTTTTGAGAACTGGGTCCTAAGGGCTAGACAATTAGACTGGCCCATCTTTTTAAATTAGTGATGCAACTTTTGAGATATAGTCATGGTTTAGGGTTTTCATTTGGGTCCAGTGGAATCAGTGATGTAGGTTTAATCTTACTAGATTATATTTCACTGTAAGAAAAACCACTATATGAAAATCTTACTTATTTTTTAAAACAAGTTAAAGAGACAATTGTATTATTAAACACCTTCCCTTAATTAATAAATAGCAATGAGAAAAATAATTTGATATTTGATGTTCAGGAATGTGGTATTTTGGGAATGCATTTATTATATAAATTAAAGTACACCCATATGTTAGTATTACTCCTGTATAGAAAAAGAAACTGTTTTGTTTCATCTCTAATCTATCTTGTAAGGTTGCTGGATGATATAATAGATGCTATTATTGTTTACCATCACTGGAAACGAAAAAGTATATGTACTCATAAAATTTTGTTTAGAAGTGTTACTATATCTAGTACTTTGATAAGAAGAGTAATATGTGTCATGGAAATACATTATGTTGTGTTAATCTAGAGTCATTTTCTAGGCCTTCCATATGGTTTTTTAAGAAAAATTCATCAGGAATTAATATAACTTTTCTATGACTTCATATGTTATGGTTATCTATAAATGTTTTTTTGGCTCTAACCATTTTTAGAAGTGTAAGGCTCAGATATCCAGTGTAATGAGGCAACTTCCATATTGAATATATAATCAAAATACATACCATTATTCTTTATACTCAGGAGAGGGAGGGAGGACGAGTGGGAAAGAGAGTTATTATTATTTTTGTATTTTTTGTGGTGGAGCAGGAACATAGAGTAAATGATGGATTTGTTTGTTTTTCAGATATGAGGATCAATGATGCAGACTGCTGGGTTCGATGAAGCTGGGCATTTATAACTAGATTCATTAAGGAATACAAAGAAAATATTTAAAGGGATCAATAATGGTGTCTTCTGGTTGCATAATGCGAAGTCTGTGGTTTATCATTATAATCAGCTTCTTACCGAATACAGAAGGTAAGATGCAGTTTGAATTTGTTTTTTTAAGTCCGTGAGAACTTGAACTATACATTCTCTTTATATGGAAGTGGAGTACTATTTTATTATTTTTAAAATATGTGCTGAATATAATAAAATAATAAAATATTAAATTTAAATAAAAATATTATTTTAAAATATGTGCTGAACATATTTCTTGAATGTGGAATTTTTCTTTTTGCTGGTAGAATTATTTTCATTATACAACTGTATTATAGAAAGCACTAGAAGTCTAAAATTTATATTTTACATAAATGTGTAAAATATTATTCTAAATAACAGAACTAAATGAAGGCATATTGCCAACTAATAGATAATAATAGCATTGGAATAATTAGCATTAAAATGTTGGTATGTATTTTATATTTATTGACTAAATTTGTTCCAGTAAAATTGAAAGTATTTTGTGACAACTTGTTCACTTCAAATTTAGTTTGTCTGTAATCATAGAACTGTGGTCATAGTTCTAAAAGTGCTAAATAATTTTTTTTCATATATTCTGGAAAAAGTTATTTTTGGTAGTGTGTCCTTTTTTAGTATTGTCTACATCTTTAACAACAAGTGCATTCCTTATAATTGAAAAATTTTCAGGTGTGAGTAACTATTTCTTGTGTAGATTTAAAGAGTTATGAAATTTTTCTCAGTGTTGCTTTAAAGATGTTTTTTTTGAAGCTTAAAATAGTAGTGAGTATATTTTTTGAAGCCAGGCCTGATTTTTAAAGAAGTAAATACTTCTTTTGAGGCTTAATGAAATAGAACCATCATTTATTAGTTACTATGTTGATTCCCTAGTAACCATAATTTCTTTTGTCTTAAATGTTAATTCCAGGTAAAAAAAAAATAAACACCCGTCCAGGTACTTTTTGCAAAGCAGGTTAACAGTTAATATGGAGCGGAGGTGTGTACATTTATAGTCAGTTGATAGTGGTGGTTATTCTACTTAGCACGAAAATACATCAATCTTAGGATATCCGTGAAGAACATAAAAACTGTAATATGATGTAAAGTATAATGGTTTTTTTTAGTCCTGATTAAATGTATTTGAACATATTTTAAAATTTTCAAATGATGTCACATGTATTTTTAAAAGATCCCATTTATACATGTTAATAAAATGATAGGTGGAGAAAAAGAGGCATATTGTCCACTAATAGATAATAATAACATTGGAATAATTAGCATTAAAATGTTAACATTTTAATTTTGCAGAAAAAAATTTATTTGAATTGCTTGTTCCAAAGTTATGTTTCATTATTTTATCCTTGCTCTACCAGTCCCCTACATTCAATATACTGAAATAACTTGTTAACATAATTTAATAAACAAGCAAAACTTGTTACCATCGAGTTGATTCCGACTCATAGCGACTGTATAGGACAGAGTAGAACTACCCCATAGGGTTTCCAAGGAGCACCTGGGGGGTTCGAACTGCTGACCTTTTGGTTAGCAGCTGACCTATTAACCACTGGGCCACCAGGGCTCCAATAAATAATAAATTTTGAATTTAGAAATATTTATAAAATAAGAATTTCTGTATTCAGAAAGTAAACAATGTTCCCTTGGATTTAAGTCACAGTGGAAAAATTACGAATAGGGTAATATTTCAGATGATATTGCTCTTTGCATCAGATTGAAAGATATGTTAAGTGTAACATTAAAAAGTGATGTCTGAATGAATAGCACTATAATGATAAAAACAAGCAGGAACTGAGTTTAATAATAAGAATTTCTGGCTTGGGTTGTTACGAAAATCTGTGTATAGTCTATAATTTTGCATCTGGTTTTGTGGGAGGAGAGCTAACTAAATTCCTGCTGTTATGTTTAAATGTTTTTATACATTTAAAAAAGATTCCAGGTGTGGACCAATGGCTCATTAGTCCACATAATGAAAAATTTTGCAATCAAGATAGAGAGCACTTTGCTGGTACAGTAGCTTAACTCAGCAGGAGGCTAGCAAACAGAGACTTTTTCATGAGATACTGCAGTTTTATTTCTAGTGTCACCTATCAGGTCAAGATTCATATTTGCTGTTAAGAGAAATTTCATTTTTGATGCATCAGGCCAGGGGACGTTGCTTTTGAAGCAGTTCCCTCCTATAGGTAAAAAGAACCTGGGAAAAACCCACACTGCTAGCTGCAGGAGTATGCATATACGCAGTTAATGCACACGGTTAGAACATTGATCCAACATCACATGGGCTTGTTATTAGAAAAGTTTTTACATGGCGTGAAATCCTCTATTGCCAGCAAGCAGGTAATGCTTTGTAAACACCTATAGAGGAAACCAATCAAAGTTAGGTATGAGTGCACAGGAAAGAAGATATAAATTTAACCATCCAGCCATTAAGTCCTCTACATGGTTGTTACCTTTCTAAAACTTACTGAGATGAGATCTTTTTTTTTGTAAACAGTTCCTGTGTCCTGATCAGTAAACTCAGGTTTCCCAGGTGGTTTTCCTCCCTCCTTCTTCATTTATAGAGGAGCTAAAGTGAACCAGGTGTTTAGGATTCAGAAATATGCAAGACATGGATGGCTTCTGATCTTGAGAAGCGCCTGGTTCTTTGCAGGGGTCGAAAACTCAAATACCTATTGTGGCCAGTGAGCTAAAGTAACTTGAGTGCAGCAGGCCAGATGGTGTCTGCGGCAGATAAGAGAGTGCTTGCCGGCGGACCCGTGATTGCTATCCAGTAGTTATTCTAGTTTTGCCAGGCTTTTGACTTTTCAATAAGAATCCCATCTTGGTATTTTAAGCAGCGGCAACTAATTCAGCTTTTTTTTTTTAAGAAGCAAGCCTATGTATTGTATTTAGCCATAGGCCATGCCTTTCTTTTCAAAGCTTTCCTGTTTACAGTAGTGATACTACTCTACATTTCATCATGAATTTTGGTTCCCGTATGTTCTTTCACAGCCTAAAATCAGAAAAGATGATCAATAGATGCTTACTTTGGTATATAATTTTAAAGGTTTAATGTCATTTTTGATTTGTTTTATATCTGTAAATATGACAGGAAAATTTCCAAATTGGCAAGAAAGACTTATTACATATTTATAATGTTTGTATATTTCATATTTTGTATGCATATCAAAAAACAAATCACTAAACACTTTTTAAGTTTTACCATGGTAAATGCTGGTTATATAAAGGTTTAATTGTTAGAATTAGCTCATACTGTAATGATCAAAATTTTGCAAAATAGAAACAATGGTTTATGTGTTCTTAAATTTTTTTCTCCCCTACATATTTTTGAAAATTGTTTAGAATTTTCATGTAAACAATGGATTTTTTAAAATATAATATTTTATTGTGTTTTAGGTGAAAGTTTACATGGCACATGAGGTTCCCATTTAACAGTTTTTATGCCTATTGTTTCGTGACATTGATTACTTTTTTCACAGTGTGTCAGCATTCTCATTATTTCCAGTCTGTTTGTTCTTGTTTCCATTAATCTAACTTCCCTGCTCCTCCTTACCTTCTCATCTTTGTTTTAGGGTAAATGTTGATCATTTGGTCTCATACAGTTGATTATTTAAGGGAGCACTGTACTCATGGGTGTTACTGTTTATTTTATAAGCTAGTCTATTATTTGGATGAGAGGTGACCTCTGGGAGTGGCTTCAGTTCAATTTCAAAGGGTTTCTTAGGGCAGTAGTCTCAGAGGTTCTTCTGGTCTCTGTTGGTCTAAACAATGGATTTTAAAGACTGAACTTTCAAAATATTTTATAAACTTTCCTTAGACTTCATTTTATTCCTAGAGAACAAACCTCAACCTCTTCAAAAATCAGTTTCGTTGAGAAACTGGTGTGCTTTGATTCCTTTGGCCAATTTTCACAAGCATAGTAACCCACTGTGGAATCGTGTATCAGTAAGTAGAAAAGTAAATTGAATTTTTGTGTCTTAGAGAATTAAATTATGCTATATAATGGAGTTCTGGCAAGCATAAATCAGACATATGAAGGCTTGGTCGAGTGACAAGTTACAAACAATAGCAGTTCTTCAGCAAAGTCAGTAAAATGGATTTTAGGTTGAATTCGTTATGCCGTGAGTATGTGATTAGATTTCATTAGTCAAAATTTTAGTTAATTAACTCAGATTACATTGTTGTTTATCCTTATTTCAAAGAAAAATATTATGCCAGATATAAAATAGGAATGAATATTATGATTTCTGCTTTAAATATTTATTTTATACAAATCAAGAAAATTTAAGAACATAGCTATAGAAATACTATCTTACCAGTTTTTAAGGTACTTTTAAGTTCTCCAAGCACATTTTACAATGGCTTTTCGAGTTAATGGTATCTTACTAAAAATTCATATGGCCTGTAGGGTCTTTTCACTAACTGGGTGGCAGAATAAGATCTAGGGGATAAATAATGACTTAGATAAAACTGTTTTTAGCATATAAATATTTCCTTCAGAATGGTGTGTAATTTGTTGTAAGGGATAGTAGCTTTGTTCTCCAAAGTTACATTTAAGAAAGATTGAAACTGAGAACACTATAGCCATGCATGCCTTTTCTTCTTTCATTCTTTTGTTCATACACACATAAAATAAAATGTATTCTTTATTTATGAATACACATATAAATAATATGGTACAATGGCAGAAATATATTTATTTTTCTTTTGTTCATTAATGTATCCAAGTGCCTAGAACAATGCCTAGCATCTAAAAATCTGTTGCTGTTGAGTTTTTTCTGACTCAACAGAATCAAGTCAACTCCTATAGGTCAAAGTACAACTGCCCTATAGAGTTTCTAAGGCTGTAATCTTTATGGAAGTGAACCGCCATATCGTTTGCAGAGCGGCTGATAGTTTTGAACCTCCGACCTTTCAGTGTGTAGCTGAGCACTTAACCGCTACATTACCAGGGCTCATTTTCTGGCACGTAGTAATCAATTAATCTATATCCATCACAAAAATAATATAAATCTGTGAAGAAGTTCATACTAGTATAGTGAGGCAGTCAAAAATAAACAGTT